CACACACACACACACAAACTCACTCAAGCACACACAAGCCATACTCTTGCGCATACCTCACCAGACTGTGCAGGGCTGCAGTTGTAATTGGTAATGTAGCACTGCAGCGGCACATTCACTGTCACAGCACTTTTACAGCAGTGTCTGCTTCTCTTTCCACCCCCCACAAACCCTCAGAGAGCCTGACCTTTGCATTCAGCCATGCACATCCTACCTTCTTGGTGCCAGACCTCTGGAGACCTCAAACACACACACATAGTCCCTCCTGCCATTTGCACATTACATCCTTTTCATATGATGAGATACTAATGTCATAGTGGGGTTTTTATGTGGCATGTATCTCATCATGACACAAGAGGGCAACCTACTCCTTGTGTATAAGTACTACTATATTATGCTTTTTACTTTTCAAATCCTTTTCACTTTGTGCACTTTATGCACTGGGCCCATTTAATATGCAGTGTCTGTTTATTGTCAGAAAAGCAGGTGTGATATGAATTATCCAGCACTTGACTATTGCAATAGAGTAATATAATACAATAATGGAAAAATTACTTTTCAATGATCTTATATGCATTTTAGCTCTGACATATGCAGATGTAAATTCACTATATAGAATAATATCCACTTACTAGAGAACTGTGCATACAATTATGTGCATATCAGCGTAACTGTAATAACATCTATGTACTGGAAAGCTGGGCATGCAATCAGCTGTTTACCTACTTACACAATTTGTGAAATAATCTATGACTAATATAATAAAGAGAGGAAGGATGCAAGAAAAGATGAATCACTCCTAGTTTTAAAACCAACTACCACTTAATCATTTATTTCCAAATCTGTGCCTGCCTTCACTGGTTTCTGGACTAAGTAGGACAGGGGCGGGTCCGCGGAAACATGAGCAAGATCAAAACCGGGACACAGCAATATGGAGCATGCCCAAACATACGCATGCACACAGCCCTGAGAGGCACACCAACACAATAGAGCACAGTGTTCACTCATTTGGAAAACAATGGCACAATGCCCAAAAATCACATAATTAGTTACTCTACTGTAAAACAACATACAGGAGCAACATCCTGCCACTGCTACAGTGTGATTATTGTGTGTCATGATTTATCACAGACTTGCTGGGGAAATAAAACAGTATAGTGACCTATCAACTAAGTAAATATTAAACATAATCATAATCATCATACTTTATTAATCCCTAAGGATTAAGGATCCCATATACTATTTAGTATTTAGAAAACATTTTCCATATAGTGTATTTTGCTTTAAAATGTAAAAAAAAACTTCACTCTTCATTTTATGTTTTAATGTATTCAACAATTTATTTACACTAGCAATGTTTTCATTTAGTGTAAGAACCTCCATAAGTTTGATCAGTTAGGAAATGATCACTAATGTGCAGAGCAGGGCTGATCAAAGACGATGTGTTATTGAATCTGTGATACTGTATCTAATTAGTAACAAGCATCTGCACAGCATGGATGGCAACATTGCAGTCTGGAGTTCAAATACATGAAGGGCTGATCAGGCTCTGTGTGGTTTGTGTGGTTTGTGTGAGAGAGGTGTGAGAGTGAGAAATATAAAAGGTATGAGAGACAGCATGAATTCCATTCACATATAGTTCAGCATTGTGACTCAAATTTAAAAATGTGTAATTCAGCAACTGGTTGTGCAAGCAGAAAAACAGCCATGGATTACTTTGCAAAAACAGAGCATCAATCAAAGCTGTCAATAAACAGGAGCTTTGGTAACAGCAAAGGTAGCACAGAAATCTGATTGGTCACTGTGGCTGAAATGGACAGTGATTGGCTCAGTATTGTGCCTAGCAACAAAGGCAGTGTTATAGAAAGCACCCAGAATTGATTTACTATCTCCCTTCTGGTACCCATGGTGACGCAGATGCAGCCCCTGTCTATGCCCCACCCTGCCTCCCCCTCTACCTCCACCACACCCTTCTTTATGAGCAGTCAGTACATAAGCCAAGGACAAGGCATTTAAACACAACCATATAAACTAAAAAAAAGGATTGTGTTTGATTAAAAATCATATTTTGTTTCACACTGTCCACAGTGATACATTAAATTCAACCATGGAGTGTAACATAGAGCACAGAAAGCATCTGGTACAGTCTGTCTCTGTCATCTCCTCCTCTTTTCTCTTTTTCTCCCTCACTCACACACTGAAATAGCTTGACTCAAACAATTCTCAGTGGGATTAAGAATAAATCTAGCTTTATATGCATGGATAACCTAGATTTGTCAATCAAACAGTTCACTGGGGAATAGGTCAGTGTACTGCTTTTGGTATGGCTGGAAATTGGGGACAGACCTGCTATCTGCAGATCAATACTGCATGAGAAACTCAGTAAAAAATAGCATTCAATATACTACCACATGCAGAGTGGTAACACGTTAAATAATTGAATGCATTGATATTTAGACAGGCTGGTAATATCCACTTGTTGCCACAAGGGGGAGCCTTTTAAAAAATCACTCTCTTTGTTCTCCATTGCAGTTTCCATATCCACAGACAGACATAGACTGATATCAGAGGCAGGCAAAGATATAAAGCCTTAAATTAGATTAGCACCGTCACACACTTCCAAAATTGTATCAGTGCTAAAGATACACTAACAGGCTGTGTGTCTACTACACATTTCCTCTGCCTGCGGAAATTAAAATGTCAACTGTCCCAGATGGGAAAGAAGATGCCGATGTCAGCTACTGAGTCTAACAATACCTGCACAATCTCATCCAGCCTGATACATATCAAAACGAAGAAAAGGGAGAAGAAAACAGAGAAATTCTTCTATCATTTACAAATTAAAACAAGTAAAGATTATGCAGAATATATGGTAAGCATCGGACATTTCTACTGTACACAATTTACACACAAAGAGCTGCAAGGCATAATTCATCCATACTTAAGTGTGTCATATATATTTTACACACACATTACACCTGCACACCATTTCAGCTTTGTGTAATATCTATTTTTACGTTCTTAATAGCCATGCAGCATGAAACATGCATCATTCAGTGGCGCATTCGAAGGGCAGAGCTTCGGTGGAAGAGCATAAAAAAAGAATGAATTATAGAGGAGAGCGCTGGCCTGCAGAGAATCTGACACTGAGAAATGACTGAGATGGTTCTGTGAGGTTGCTCCACTTTCCACAGAAATGAAGATAACTATTTATTAAATAATAACTTGCCTACAAATCGTTTAAGCATAGGCTTCTATACTTCCGCTTACCGAGAATAGCAAACACCAATTTCCACTCTCATTAACATCAAAACTTAAAAATATACTTGTGCAGCAGCAAAATAATGTTCCTTCTTAAGGTGTGATGATAGGGATATAAATGATCTGCTCTAAGTGTCACATATTGTTTGAGTGTTCATGTTAGTTTGTATGCATGTGTGTTTTTGGCTGAGGAGTGTTGAACAGTGAGGGAAGAAAAACCTATTGCCACTTGCTAGTTTAATGTTTCCCCACATGTTTTCTGTCTAAAACTCACTGATACATGACTACTGAAATAAATGCCACATTCATTATTGTTATGGCATTCTGCTTTAGTGTTAATCAATTCAGTTGCCTTTTTGAAACTGTGTTTTTTTTATATATGTGGCTATTGTTTTTTTAATATGTCAGGCCCTTTTTGTCAGATTAAATATCAACAACATGCCTCTGTATTGTTCAGCACAATCCAACAGCAACACAAACTACAGCTTCTTACAGACTGTAAAGTTGAATTCACAGTCCTCTCATACCATATGTTTAGCATACAATATATGCAGCTTTAAAAAGTAATTTAATGGGACAGATCTTTTTAAGTGGGTATAAGCATGCAAAGTTTAAAGTCAAGGACAAAGCAAATGCATAACAAATTAAAGAAAACAACATGGTGGCAGCATGGTGGCATGGTGATTAGCACTGTTGCCTCACAGCAAGAAGGTCTGAGTTTTATTCCACCACCTGGCCAGGGCCTTTCTGTCTGAAGTTTGCATGTTCTTTCTGTGTTTGTGCGGGTTCTCTCTGGCTACTCCGGCTTCCTCCCATCGTCCAAAGACATGCAGTTAGTGAGGTTGGGTTAGATGGGGATGTCAGCTACTGACAGCTAGAATTACATAACTGGTAATTCTAAATTGCCGAAAGGTGTGAATGTGAGTGGGAATGGTTGTCTATCTCTATGTGTTAGCCCTGCGACAGATTGGTGACCTGTCCAGTGTGTACCCTGCCTCTCCCCCTATGGTAGTTGGGATGGGCTCCAGCCACAGCCCTGACAAGGATAAGCGGAAGAGAATGGATGCATGAATAATACTAATACTAATACTAATACTACTACTACTACTACTACTACTACTACTACTACTACTACTACTAATAATAATAATAATAATAATAATAATAATAATAATAATAATAATAATAATGCTGTCTAGCCATTAGCCTGAAGTTTAAAGCTGAGTGAAATCCTAGGTTATTTTATGCGCTGCTGTCTTTCAAAGCTGCTCTTCATGGCATCGTTGAGATGATTCCACCTAATCATATTGGAGGACCAACATAGTAGAATTATTACTTTACATACTTTACAGAAGCCCTAATCCAACACAAATGGGGATAGTGACAGTTATAGCAGATGAAAAAATGCTTGGATAGGAATTCTCTTTTGAAAACACCTAAAGCAACAGCAGCAATATTTTGGCACTTTTAAACATTTGGCATGACAAACTGCCAAAAGTACAGCTTTTTATATAATGCAAGGAGATCTAACATGATGCTTTCACAAAGGTCATGTGTTGCAGGTTTACACTGAATTGTTTCTAATATACTGCTTACAAAGTACTGAGTATTTTTATGCCATTTCACAATTTCTGTCTATTTCTATCATTATTCTATTAGAAGCATTATCACTATAATTCATTACTTTAGTTCTCTGCTCTAGGACAAAGCAAAGTGACAAAAATCGGGCAGTAAAGGGCTTAGGGAGAAATTACACTCCAGCCTTATCATGAGCACCTCATTTATAGCAGTCTGTTAACAAGCAAAATAAACACATTTTGTTATGTTGGTATCTTTTTTTTTTTTTTTTTTTTGTCTCTGCACAACTTTGCTCCCCTCATTCCCATTAAGCAGATTCTCACTTCATTATCTGTAATGCGATGCATAGATTATCTGGCCCAGTATCTACTGTGAGTTTTGGTCTGCATAAAAGACTGAGTTCATCTGTTTGCTAAATCCCTTGCTACCTGATCTCACTATCTACTATAAAATCAAGCCTTAACGTAATTTGACACACTATCAGCATTAAAGCAGAGGTACACAGTAACACTCTTTTTGAAACTAATGGTACGTCTCAATTATGTGGTACTGCAATTATAATATAATATAAATAAGAAATTTATTGCACTAGCCCTTGTACAGCTGCTGTTGCTCAGTTTGTGAGATTAATGTTTTAAAGGCCCTTAGGCTCATAGTCTCTGAATGAGTGACATGCTTTTGTGACTAAAAACAAAATAATGAGAAAGGTAATGTCTGACTGAACACAACACTTATACCAATCATTTTGATAAAATGTAAATAGCAAAAAGCATGAAAAAGCATGAAACAAATGTAATTAATAAATTCTGATAGCCATTTCCCCCAAATAAGGGATAGCTGTAGGTTTATGACCCACAAAATAATAAATGAAACACATTATTGTTAAATGTATTGTTTCCTGAAAACAGGAAAAATAGTAATTGTGAACAGCATAATGATTATTTATGCAGACCGCGAACAAACCGAAGAAATAATGCGATGACCAAAATATTCCCTAACATTAACCAAAATACCCATCCTTACCTTAAATCTAACAAAATTGAATAGCAATATGCAAATTCTAAGAACATTGTTCATGTAATCCCATCCTTCATCCTCCTGTATAAGAAGTATTTAACTCAAGTCAACAGCAACAAGCTGAAAAAATGTTACTTTGGATTCATATGCAGGCAAAATTATTATTATTTTTCCTCTAGGACCTCTGGCTTTGAAAAACAACACTAGACTTGGCTATGCTTCACGTGTCCCTACTACAGCCATGGGGAAGAGAGAGAAAAAGGTTTTCTAACAAACTCAGCTCATAGCTCCAGTTTATTGAGAAAGAGGAGGTAGAGTTGAGAAAAGAGGCCACCTATGTTTTCAGCGGCAAGGAAGGATTGTATAGCTTCAACTAAGCTTTGTAATAGCAGTTAGCAACCAAGTCAAACCAAAACGAACACCAGGCTGAGCAAAAAAACAAAGAACTGGGGGATAACAAAAGAAAGAGTAAACAAGCTTACAAAATGTGTCAGCCATTTTCTGTGAGCCTGCAGTTGCACAAAGCGACAGGAGAGG